TATTCGATATTCAATCTGGAATCCTCATCGAGAAATCGATCCGCCGTAAGTCTTCTCTCCTCCGATTCGTTTGTTCTTCTCGATTTGATTGTTGTTTGATTAGGGTTTTGTCAATTAAATAATCTCTAATTCTCTACTCTCTACTCTCTACTTCTCGATTGTGTTTTTTTGATGATTTAATACGAATGCAGAAAATGTAAACGACACAAAAAATTTAACGAGTTCAGATCTCCAATGTGAAGATCCTACATCTCACCGGGATATTTTTATCCCGGAAACCCACTAAAGCTCATCGTCACGTATAACCCAAAATACAGAGATAATATTTACAAACATCAAGAAAAATTAACGAGCACTCAACATTGCTTTTTTCTTTTTCTCCTCTGCTCTTCCGCTTCACCGTACCAAGATAAATCTTGATTGATTTCATTAGTGACAGGTGGCTCTTGATAGTGGAGGTTCCTTTGCCTCTTTAATCCTGCTAAATATATCTCACTAGACGTATTTAGCATCTTCTCTTTTTCTTCTTGTTCAAGTACCATATCAAAGATTATATCTTGGTCAACACATTCATCTTCCATGATTACAAGAAGCGGGGTCCCTGAATCTTGACTTTTAACCTGAAGAGGAATCTGTGAATCTTGTTGTTGAATGCCCCTATCATCATCTTCTTCTTTTTCTTCATCCAGTATATTTTCGAGCTCATTCACTTATTCCTCCAGGTTTTGATCTCCTTCTTCTTCTTCTTCTTCCATGTCTTGATCCATTGTGGATCTTGAATCTTGACCTTGAAGAGGAGGGATTGAGTCTTGAGAAAGCATCAATGGTGGTTGTTGGTAAATGAAATCAAGGCTTTCAGTGTCAAACATGAATCTATAATCATCATGGTCCATGTTTTGTTGACTAATTAAACTCCGAATCATATCCCTCTCCTCCACCTCTGGTGACAAGAGCGTTTGAAACCTATTGGAGTGTATATGTGTATATTAATGTATTGGTTTAGTAGCTAGATTAGATCCGGTTAAGTAAACCGAGATTGAGCAATTGTATATAAACCTCTTGGAAAGATTCTTCCTAATCTTAATGAGAAAATTATCTTCATAACAACTTTTCTCTCAACGTTTCTCTTCCGCTAATAAAACCATATTGTTGTCTAGTGGTGGCTGCTCAACGATGTTGTTGTTGGTCTCAGTCCGGAACTTAAATTGGTCAAGGACGTTCTTCTTCACACGGATATTACACAAGATAACTTTTTGGAGTTCAGCATCGTTCTCACTCGCTAGCCAATACTCAGTCATACACCAGCCGGTGGCGGTGATTTCTCCCATTGTCTGTCCTTTTACATGCTTGTAGTATGAGACTTCTTGTTTATACCTAATCACAACATTGTTACTGAAGATATCCTCCGTTTTTGCCAGTGGTCATCCAAGTCCCGCCTTCGCTGCCTCCTCGTCCGGGTGTCTTACGAGGTCGTCCGCTTGTTCTCTTGGCAGAGTAGAACTATTCGTTCTCAATGAACTGATCGTTGTATACGTACGGAAGAAGCCACGGCTCGTCTTCGTAAATTTTGATGTCTTTTATGAAACCGTCTTTGTCCGTTTCTACTCTGTTGCGTAGATAATGATCCATCATCAGCTTCAAGTCCGTCGGAATGAACCTGAGATCGCGAGGATCTACTATAGTATATATTTATCCAAATTATAATCGAATGAATACGTTTTGAAACTCTCCCTTGTAATAACCTATATACAAGAAGCACTAATTTCTTTTATTTTATTTTTAAAAAAAATTGTTTTGATAAACTTAGGAGGGGTTATTGGTTCATTGATTTATAAGGAATTAGAAATCCATACAAAAATCATTTGTTATTCAATCATTGATTTTAAAATCCTAATTAAAATCTTGTGTTATTGGTTCTATAATTTATAAATACTAGTTAAAATCATATGTTATTCGTTTAGTCAATTGTTTTTGGATTTGAGAATCCAAATTATGTTTTAAATGGATTTGAATGGAATTGAAAGAGAAAAATAGAAGGATTCAAATCCATGGGTAAACACATGTTATTTCAAAATCCATATATCTTGATTTCATAATTCATAGAAATTTTCAAATTCTATATGGATTTACAAATTAATAAACCAATAACACCCCCTTAGGTTTTATTTGTTCTCCCTAACTATGTATTAAAAGGTTTTTCTTTTCCATAATACATATGAATTTTTTTTCGAAAAGCTAGCTAATTGTATTCGCTTCTCTTGATTTACTCGTAACTTTTTAACAAAAAAATAAAAACAAAAACAATTTTAAAGTTATCAATCCATAAGATTAATAAGATAAAGTAATTTAAAATCTGCCTAATCAAAATAAAAGATTTTTCAAAATTTATTTTAATTAAAATTGTATAATGTTTTTTTTTTCTATTCTAATAATACAAAAGGAGTTCATTAGACATTCCAAGATTATAGGAAAGCTGTTCATCCATAACCCTATAAGATTGGTTACGTGCAGAATAAGTTAGTGGCTAATCATATCCAAACTTGGTGATTTTTATACGATTTGATAGCATAGATAAACTGTAATAACCGGTTGTCGTTAAGCAAATTGAAAAGCTCTGTTTTGTGCTGCAGTATATATATAAATTATCTACTTCATTTATTGTGTAATTGAAATTAAGGTGACACTAATATTACTAAATAATCTCTGATATTATCTATACTAGGACTCAGTCACTCCGCGATATCGCGGGAGAAAATATTTCAAAAATCGTTTTAAGAAGAAAATATTAAACGAAAAGTCATAATGAATTGTAACAATTTTGAAACTTTTTAAATAATAAATTAATATATATATATATGAAAATTATGATAAAAAAAAAACCCTCACAAGCATTTATTAAGTATATAAGTATTAGAAAAACATTAATTTGTAACTAAAAAACTATTTCCAAGTGCAAAAGGCATCAAATAAACTAAAGGTTACAACAGTTTGATAAATAAGCCAAAATGTTCATTTATTCGTCAAATAAACCAAACGCTACTATGTTAAATTAAACGGTAGCAACAATTCATTTAAATATATTACAGTAATTAAATATTTTTTAAAAAAATATGGCGAACTTTAACCGAGAGACATGACCGTAGATATCAAACAAACTAAAAGTTGCATCGGTTCGTCAAATATAACAAATGTTGCAATGGTTCATCAAATAATACTAAAGATTACAATCCCTTTAAATAACCTAAATGTTGCAACGTTTCGTCAAATAAACTAAATGTTGTAACAGTTCAATTAAACGGTTACAATCTCATTTAAATAGATTTTAGTAATTAAAAATTAAATATACAAATAATAATTTATGAAAAGCTACAACGAGGATAGATGATTATATGTTATAACGACTTAAAAATAAATTTAAAGTTGCAATTGTTCGTGAAATAAACTAAATGTTGCAATGGTTCAACTAAACGGTTGCAACCTTTTTACAATAAAATGATGCAACCTTAGAAAACATTTACTCGGATTGCAACTTTTTCAAATAACGTAACGTAAAATATATTTTTTAGTTTAAAAAAACAAAATGTTGCGATGTACCAAAAGTTACAACAGTTTGTCAAGTTCGTGAAATAAACTAAAGATTACAACGGTTCGTAAAACAAAACCAAAAGTTGCAATGATTCGTTAAATAAATCAAATGTTACAAAGGTTCAATTAAACGGTTATAAGCTTATTTAAATATATTTTGATAGTTAAAAATTAAAAATAATAATTTATGAAAATTATACCGAGAGACGCGACGGTAGATAATTAAATGTTGTAGCGATTTATAAAATAACAAAAGGTTGCAATTGTTCGTGAAATAAGCTATATATATAAACCAAAAATTGCAATGCTCATGGAATAAACTAAATATTGCAATGATTTGAGTAAAATGTTACAACTGCTTATGAAGAGTTACAATAAAAAGACGCAACCGTAGAAGACATTCGGATTGCAATTTTCTAAAAAAACATAACCGTAAAATATATATTTTATTTATAAAAAAATTAACTAAAAATTACGATTAAAAGATACCACCATTCAAGTGCAAAAGACATTTATTGAGATTGTTATTATTATTAAATTATTCTACTTGTGTTGTAGTAGTAATTTATATGAAAGAGGTTATTTAAAGACTATATTTTTAGTGAGGTTTGTTTCAAGCAATTCCAGCAAGCTTTAAGATTTAAAATCCAATAATTTCACAAAACACAATAACATCAACTTTTGGTGAAGTTGGCTAAAGAAGATTTGTCGATCTAATAATAGATCCATCAATTCAACACCATTTTTATGGACTTGTGGAATTAGATCATGGACAGTAGTTAAATTGGCATAATTTAATTAAAGCTTTAAAAACAATTAAAAAATAGAGAACTAATCAATCAATATCATAAATATCATAAACTTGATTCTTGACATATAGTTGTAGGATTGTAGCAATTTAATCTACGATGAACTAAAAAAAGATAAAATAAATTAATCGATTATGAAGTGTACAAATTGTCATACAGATTAGAGAAAATTCACTTCTTGTACCACTGTTGCATCATTTTGATCATCAATTTGAAATAGTCCATCTCAAAACTTAAATATATAAGCTTGCTTGATTTAAGGATGTTCTTTATTGCCCAAACAAAAGCTTTTACTTCCAAGTATAGAGGAGCCATTTGGCTCCTAACAAATTAGAAGAGATATATTACATAGTTTAGGTTTTAGAAAGTATCTAAATATAGTCATAGGGTTATTACATAACATATGAAACTGGTGATTATTTTCTGTTTTAACTTATAAGAAACCTTTGAAATTTAAAAGAAGAGATAAGTAACTTTGTAGTAGAGTCTTATCAGTATAAACTTGTAACTGAATTTTAAAAGAAAAGTAAATTTGTAGTAAACCATTCCCATCTATCAAAATGTGTACAGAATTACAATGGAAAAAAAATATGCAAATCAATCCCATGATAAAATATATATTTACTCTAATTTACATGATAGAACTCCAAAAAAAAAAAAAAATTGATCCCAAAGATAAGATAAATTCAACTGTAACGAAAGCTGTTGTGTGGAAATTTCTTTCATTCAATTCGAATAAGTGAAGCAGGCATCTCATACTGCAAAGCAAATGCTTCGACTCGGTTTCTAAGCTCAGCTATGTCTTTGTTGGTGCATAAACTTTTCACAAACTCCTTGTGTGACTTCCCATGCTCTCTCTGCAACGCACTCGTTATCTGAGCCGCCTTTATCAGAAAATCCGCCATTGTCTCGAAATCAGACTCTATACAGCCTCGCGTTGTCATCGCAGGTGTCCCTATTTATAAAAGAGGTTCGATATAAATATGAATGTGACAGGTCACTAAATTGAAAACAAAATGCAAACCAATCAATCTGTGCTTTACCTATTCTTACACCTCCAGGAGATATTGTACCATTGTCCCCGAATATAGCTGTCTTGTTTAAAGTGATATGGCACATCTCACACACTTTCTCGTAGACTTTCCCTGGAAAACAGGTACAAACATAATCAGACAAAATTCTAAATTTGGATCAATGAGTGAGTGTATAGGTTGAGTGATTTTAGTACCTGTTAAGCCCATAGGAGTGAGATCCCACAGCAACAAATGGTTGTCTGTGCCACCTGTAACCAGTCTACATTTTCTTCTAAGCAGAGCTGCTGCTAAAGCTTGGGCGTTTTTCTTCATCTGTTGTATGTAAGCTTTGTATTCTGGAGTGGCCACTTGTTTCAAGGCAATGGCAAGAGCTGCGATATGGTTGTTGTGTGGACCTCCTTGTAGAGATGGGAAAACAGCAAAGTTGATCTTTTCCTCTAAATCGTAATGCGTGGAAGTGTCAGAATGGCTTGAGTGATGGCCCTGCTTTCTTATCTTTGGGCCTCTCCTGTAGAAGATGATACCTCCTCTAGGACCACGTAGACCTTTGTGGGTAGTGGAGGTAACTATGTCACAGTGATCAAATGGATTTGAACATTCCTGTAGATGACAAAAATACCAAACCAAGTTCAGAAACAATATTTCCTGGAACTGAATCATAACAAATGTTGACATATTATAATAGTTTCAAACCATTTCCTTTTGAATATTGACCAACACACCAAAAACCCAATCATCATATCAATTTCTTAAATGTAAACTTTACTATCCACTAAGTATAAGAAGCTTCAACTACTAATCATTTCAAAGTCACCACAGAAAACGACTTTGCATAGATAGTAGTCAAACCATCTAAAATTTCAATAGAACAATCATAACACAAACGCAGAATATCAATACATGGCCTAACCAAATTGAAACTGTCTGATACTAGATGTTTTAACTCTGGGGAAACAAGTCCTAGACATGCAATCTAAACCATGGAGAATATAAGAGATAATCAACACAATAACACAAGTAGTAGATGATTGATTCTAACCTTAGTCGCAACAAGCCCGCTTATATGAGCCATATCACACATCAAAACAGCTCCACACTTGTCAGCAATCTGTCTAACCCTTGCAAAATCCCAATCCCTAGGATAAGAACTCCCTCCACAAATAAGAATCTTTGGACGGTAATCAAGCGCCTTATCTTCAAGCTTATCATAATCAATATACCCAGTTTGAGGATTCACTTTATAAGGAAAACTCTCAAAGAAAATCGAAGCAGCCGAAATCTTCTTCCCACCAGGAGTACAATACCCATGACTCATATGACCACCAGAAGGAGAATCGAGCCCCATAATCCGTTCACCGGGCAATAAAAGTCCGGTATACACCGCAAAATTAGCAGAAGTACAAGAATACGGCTGAACATTAACACCCCATTTATCAGATTCAAGACCAAACGCAGTAAGAGCTCTTTCAATACAAAGATTCTCAATCTGATCAATATATTGATTCCCAGTATAGTACCTAGCTCCAGGCATACCTTCAGAGTATTTATTCGTCAAATGACTACCTAAAGCTTCCATTACAGCTCTACACACAAAATTCTCAGAAGCAATCAATTCAATTCCTCTTACTTGTCTTTGCTTCTCTTTCTCCATTAGCTCATGAATATCAGGATCCGCCAAATGAATTGGTTGATCACCCCAAGCTCGTACAGCAGCACGTCTCGATTCCAGATCTGAATCACCAATGGAACTTCTCTTTGGATGCTTCGCTTGAGTTAACAAAAGTGGACAATCTCTTTGCCTTTTGAGACACATATGATGACCTAAGATTCTGAAATGCTCGTCTTCTTTCTGATCTCCGCCGTCTTTCTTCGGCTCCTCGACGGTGATCTTCTCGACTTTTTGTTCGAGTAATTGCAACGGAATCGGAGGGAAAGTTGTTGGTAATGATCGGAAACTTTGATCGACTTGAAGATTAATCGAATCGTCAGCGATTGGAGCTCTTGGTGTTGGAGTTGGAGTCATTGATGCGTGAGAACAACCAAACCCTAATTGAAAATTTGATTGAGAACGGCTCAAATCCATAAAAGTTTGAAGAAGATGAAGATTGAAATTTTTTGGCCAATTTAGGGTTTTGTTTTTCGCTTTTTTGGTTGTGTGGATTTGAGAAGAAGAGAAGGAACAAATAAATGAGAGACATGTGAAGGCGAAGACGAATGATTTTTTGGGGGAGATTACCGGGTACCGGGAATAGAGAGTTATGTATCTGGACGCTTTTTGGGTTTTGTTAGCTTATGCGGTGGAGTTTGTCGACTGGTAATAGCCGGTAGTATTAGGATCGTGTCAATTTGACGGAAAAAGTGGGTTTCTAAAGCTAATCTAGCCCAAAAAGTAAGATAGATTCATTTTGACGATATAAAACGTTTTTTGTTAGAAAAATTTAACTATTAAAGTGCAAAGATAAGTTTTAACAAATATCTTATTATGCAACTATGGAAGATTAGCTTTTGATCTCCTTAAACAGTTTTGTCTTACTTAAGTAATTATACTATGAAGGGGTGTTTAACAAAAAGTAGACCATACAATTATATCAAGATTTTTGAATGCTAAAAAGTGAGAAGTTGATAAAATGTGATGGAGTCAGAATATGGTATGTGTTGTATGCAATAGCTTAGATTTGTCTTTGAATAGTGAAAACCGGACTAGTATATGCCTACATGTGTAGAAAAATATAACCAATAAAACATTAACTAGATCATGACCCGCACGTAGGAGCGGGTTCCTTATTTTAAGAAAATGTGTTGTTATAAACTTTTTATAAATATAAAATATTTCGTTATTTGGTGATATATATTGTTGTATATATATTATAATGTACACAGATAAATGTAAAATGTTATTTATAATATTTATGACACAATAGCTAATAATGTGAAGCATAACTCAAATTTTGGAGTTTGAAATTGAAGAGTAAAGTAGAAATCTTATTAGATAAAAATATAATATAGGTTAGATTGATGTAAACAAATTTATTTTATATAGTATTTATAACACAATCTTAGATTAATTGTGAGATAATCAACGACGTGGAAGAATGCAAAATATTTATAGGAAATAGATTGTACATGAAATTAGGTTTTAATTAGTGGATGATGACAAAAAATACTAATCTTAATTGCATATTTTAAATTTATGATGACGAAAATATTTTTTTTAAAAAAAACTAAAAATTCCAATGATCCTTATGCATTATCACAAATATGGTGATTATGATTGTTCAAATACAATTAATGTCCTGTTAAAAAAATTCCATTAATGTTTGTTTCCAGAAAAGAAACTATTCAAATTTAATAAAAAAATAAGAATATTGGTGTGAATGAATATTTTCTCATTTTGAAGTATTTGTATTGAAAATTTAAACATTGGTATTTAAATTATATTTTTAATGTTTTTTGAAAAAATAAAATAATCGAATTTAGAAGAATATATATTCCAAAAGCTTGTAACAATTTGAGACGTAATAAAATAATTTACTTGATTTGATATATTAATTTATTTGGCTCTAAATAAAATAATTTGGAGATATAGTAACTATTATAATACGTTTTAAAAATATATATATATATATTTATATAATTCAAATTTAGTTTAGTGATATATATTTAAAATAATGAAAACTACCCGTTTCTAAAAAAAATATATTTCAAAATTTATATCATTTAAATTCTAATTAAAATGTAAAATAATTTAATCTATACTGAAAATATTATTTACATATTTAGAAGAGAAATTCATAAAAATGGCCCTAAAACAAGTTTTATTGACAATAATAGCACACACTCCATAAACTTCAAAAAATAGCACTAGTTAACTTACTATTAGTGTTTTTGTTCTAAAAATTTTATCACTAGCTTTTTTTTTTCAATAATACCACAACTTTTATATAAAAGCTATTCAACAAAATAAATTAGAAATAAATTTAAAATATTATATTTGGGTTTTCTATTTCCAATTTAGGGTATATATTTCTACCATTTAAAAGAGATTTTGATTCATTTTAATATTAGTTTATGGTATTATATTTGGGTTCCCTATTTCCAATTTAGGGTATATATTTTCACCATTTAAAAGAGATTTTTATTTTAATATTAGTTTGTGGTATTATATTTGGGTTCCCTATTTCCAAATTAGGGTATATATTTCCACTATTTAAAACAATTTTGATTCAATTTAATATTAGATTAGTGTTTGCTCTCTTTTTTATTTTCTATCTTATATTTTCATTAAGTTTAATTGAAGTTTATGGTGCTATTTGTGGAACTTTTCGAATGAGGTGCTATTTTTGGAAAAAAACAACTTTTTTGGGGCTATTTGTGTCAATCTCCCTATTTAGAATCTAAAATCCAAAATTATTTGTTGAATAGGTTATATTTTAAAGGATGGAAGTATTTAGTTTAGATTATATATGACAAATATGCTAAATATTTTTTCATATTTCGAAAAAAAAATATTAAAATCGTTTTCTTCATGTGTACTACTAATCAGAATTAATTAGCATAGTTTTGTTTAGGAAATGTATTAAAATCTACATTAAATGAGAATTTGTTACATTAATTAATTAGCATAGTTTTGTTAAGGAAATGTATCAAAATCTAAATTAAATGAAATTATTAGATTTTCGTAATAAATTATTAGATATTACCGGAAATATCTAATAATTTATTACTAAAATAATGTACAATTTTGAATTAAATAAGGGAAATTGTTAAAAATGCCCCTTTTTCAATACCCCTTTTCAAAAATGCCCCCTTTGAGAGTCCATTTTTAAGTTTGCCCTCTTTTAATTTTTAATGACCATTTTACCCTTATTTGAAACAAAATTAGGTCAACAAAATACAAAATATTTTTTGGCGGGAAAAGTGATCCCGCAATTTTCCCGCCAAAACACTTGTAAAAACCTTTAAAATACCTTGTAAAATTTTCCCGTAAAAATTTTTCCCGCCAAAATTTTTTTTTGCGGGAAAAGTGATTCCGCAATTTTTTTGGCAAAATTGTTTTGGCGGGAAAAATTTACAAGGTATTTTAAAGGTTTTACAGAGTATTTACAAGTGTTTTGTAAGGTTTTACAATGTATTTTAAAAGGTTTTACAAGGTACTTATAAGGTTTTATAAGGTATTTATAACTTGTAAAACCTTATAAAAAACTTGTAAAACCTTATAACTTGTAAAACCTTATAAAATAGCTTGTAAAATCTTATAATATCTTATAAATACCTTATAAATACGTTGTAAAACCTTTTAAAATACATTGTAAAACCTTATAAATACCCTGTAAAAAACCTTTAAAATACCTTGTAAATTTTTCCCGCCAAAAATTTAACGCCAAAAAAATTGCGGAATCACTTTTCCCGTAAAAACAAATTTTTGGCGGGAAATTTTTTTGGCGGGAAAAAATTTTACGGGAAAATTTTACAAGGTATTTTAAAGGTTTTACAAGTTTTTACAAGTGTTTTGGCGGGAAAAATTGCGGGATCACTTTTCCCGCCAAAAAATATTTTGTATTTTGTGGACCTAATTTTGTTATATTTCCTTATATATTTGTGATATCTTTTATTAAAAGAAGGGTAATTTAGTCATTTTGTACATAAAAAGGGATATTTTTAAAAATGGACAGCCAAAGGGGGCATTTTTGAAAAGGGGTATTGAAAAAGGGGCATTTTTGTGAGTCTCCCATTAAATAACTTAATTTATTATAGAATCTTCTTTAAACTATTTTCAAAATTATCGGGCAGTTATTATTTTATTGATTTATTTTCGATTATTTAAAAAATATTTTTTTCTTTCTTCAAATTTTTAAAAAATCAATGGCATTTTATGTAATATTCTACAACTTAAAGGTTTTTTTATTATTTAGCGATTCCCAATTAATAGTATAGATAACAACAACATATTTTAAAAGAAAATATTACAATTACAAACTAAAATCTATTATTTGGATTTTTCCATAATATTGGCAATATTTTTGCAGTTGTTTGTCGTACAAAATTCAGGAAGGATTTCACGAAATTCAGGAAGGATTCATTGAATTTCAGGAAAGGATTCCTTAAATGATTGCACGAAATTCAGGAAGGATTCAACGAAATTCAGGAAGGATTCCACGTAATTCAGGAAGGATTTCACGTAATTTAGGAAGGGTTTCACGAATCCTTCCTAAATTTTGTGGAATCCTTCCTAAATTTCTTGGATTTTTTTTTGCGGGAAAAGTCGGACGAAAATTTTTTTGGCGGAAAAATTTTGACGACATCTTTTTTTTCCGGGAGCGAAAAATATTTTGGTGGGAAATTTTGACGGAAATTTTTTTGGCGGGAAAATTTTGACGGGATTTTTTTTGGCGGGAAAATATTAAAGATCAATTTGTGATTTTTTGTATTTATTGATAATTATTTATTAATTTTAAAAATAAAAAATAAGGTGCTATTTTTGTCCATTAAACTTATGAGTGCTATTCTTGTCCCAAAAACTTGATTTGGGGCTATTTGAGACAATTTCTCATAATACTATTACAATACTTACTTTCATATTTTGCTATTTGTTAGTTTTGACTTTTGAATTGATGTCATGATTTTGATAGGAAGAAAAATTAAGGTTTTGAGAATTAACGTTAATATATCTAGGATTTGACAAAAAAAAAATTATTTGTTGTTTAGTGTTTTTTTTTTATCAACCGCCATCGCCCGCAACCGCAAACAATTACGGATAAGAATTTTTGAAATTCAGTAATTTTAGCGGTCTCAAGCGGTCCAAAACAGTTTAAAACGATTTCTATGATTGATTTTAAACGATAACAATCGCAACCGTTACAAACGCACTTGCAAGTGGTAGGAAGAACCAATCAAAACCCTAAAAACAAAAATTTGAAACTTCCAAAAGCCCAGTGGGCTAGAAATGCCCATACTCGATTTATATCTTCTTTTTGTTATTTTTTGTTAACATCACTCGATTTTTTCAAAGACGAAACAGAAAACCTCTTTTTAAATCAAGTTTGGCTTTCTCTCTCTTCTCTCTCTAGATTTTTCAGAGAGAGAAAGCGATTTCCGAGCATGGTTTTTTCTTTCCGGCATCGACGACGGTCTTCCGTTATATGATGGCTGGCTCTTTTCTAGCACCATCTGATTTCTTTATCGGAGGTGGCTAGCTTATCTTCAGCATCGTCTTGCTTACATAGCGGTGATGGCTGACTCTTTTCCAGCATCAGCCGGCTTTTGTAGCGGCGGTGGTTGGCTTCTCTCCAGCATCGTTGGCTTCCATAGCGGCGATGGCTGGCTTCGTTTCTGGCGTGTTCGTCAGTTTCTCCGACGCACTCGGCTGGCTCTGTACGGCTATCAGTTGCCTGTGTCCTTTCTTTTGAATAAAAGTTATGGTTTAAACTCATCAGATCTGTGTATTAGTAGTGGCGTTTGTGGCGATTCTCCACTCAAAAGGGTCTCTTTACGGCCTATCTTTTAGGTTTGCAGTTTTCGGAAAACAATTAAACGATTTGCGTTTACAGTTGAAGATTCAAAGCTCTTCCCTCAGTTTATTACTATTGCCTTTAGCTGTTTCTTTATGTTTAAGCTTTGATTGGGTTAGTTAACAGAGGTGGATTAATCGGAGATCTTAATTTTCTTTTTGTTTTGCGTTGGATCTAAATTTTGATTCGAGCAAACGATTGAGATTAATGGATCCGTGTTAGTTTTTCACTTCTGTTTTGCAGATGTCGGAGTATTACGAAGAATCTATTTTCGATGTTGGTCGATGTTAGTTTCAGTCTCCGGCGGAATCATTAGCTTTGACGGCGAAGGTTGATGACGGGAAACTTTTTGCTTCCTCATGTTTACACGCGTCCAGATGTTGACACGTATCTTGAGATATTTTCTGTTGATAAATCTTTTTCTGAAGTGATGCAAATGGTTGAGCTCGTGTTGGGCTTTTGTTATCCTAGTTTGTTCTTTTTGTTAGAGCTTTGTTGGCCCATGTATGATATGTTTCATCAATAAAATCCCAGTTGTGAAAAAAAAAAAAAAAAATCAAGTTTGGTATTTTTTTTTTTTTTATTATTAATTTTTTTATCAAGTTTGGTATTTTGTATCTTCTTCCTCGAAATTAAAAATTACCAAAAGAGAGAGATCTTTAAAAGCAAGAAATTCTAATCAATAGCTTCATCCATGGAATCTCCTTCGTTCCTCGACAATTTCTTCTTCTTCCTCATACGTCCGCTTCTTGCAATCTCATTCGTCGTCTGTTTCATCGCTCTATGTACTCTCTCTCTCCTCAAAATTGAAGAATTTGACCGCAAAGTTTTGATCTTTAGGGCTTTTAGCTGTTGATGTTGTTAATCGTTTTGATCATTTGGGTATTTCATAATTGGAATTTGAGAGTTGACTTTTTTTTTTTTTTTGGGTTTTGCAGGGTGGTTTCTGGCATGGAAGCTTGTATTAAGCCATGTTCCTCTAGTACAAGAGATCTTTGGCTTGAGGAAAAAAACCTTTAAACCGAAACCTGAATCTCGCGGTCGAATCGCCAAATTCTACAAAAGTATCAGTTCTCAGAATCCTGTTCCCCAATGGTAATTAGCTCTTTACTCTTTGAATCCTGAAGATGTGTGAATCCCTCTTATTTACTTGGTCTTTTGGACTCATTTATTTCACAGATTGTGAATTCCGAGGATTATAGAAGCTTCGATGATCCGAAAACGGAACGAGTCAGAGGATATCAATGTCACAATCCAGGAAGATTCAAGTTACAGAGTTCTATAATGTTGTTGATCTTTTATGGTGGTATGTGTGCAATGTAGTGTAGCATTTTGTGTAGTGTGAAGTATCTCAACCCAAATCTTGAATCAGTGTTTCCTTGTCTTCACACTGATCCTAAATTGTTGTGAGAGAGATCCTTTTGATTCATGAATCAGGTTAAAAAATGATGTTTTCACCAAGACACTACAAGAAACAACCTGAAGCTACGAATCAAATCCATGACTAACCAAGTCATATTAATAGTAAAACATGAATCATAAATCTCAGCAGCCAAAGAACTTTCCCATTCAAACATCAGCTGCGTTTTTGTTATCCCTTTTGATAGGTGAATAAAAAATGGACTGTAACACAAGATATTGAAAATTTTACCCAACATCGAACTCAAGCAGAAGGTGTTATCTACTCAGCAGGTGAAGGAGTCTTCTTTTTGACGGGTCCTAAAGAGACTTTAACCTTTGCTGGTCTCAGAACACGATCTCCTAGAACAAATCCCCGGTTCAGCTCCTCGGTTATTATCCCTGCTTTAACCACCTCAGATTCTTCTCGTGATATAGCCTCGTGCAACTACAACAATCAAGAGTATTACTAAGTCACTCCAAACCCTCCAAAACAACAAACATTACTTCTCTTATCATCACTCACTAGCACATACTAATCATGTAACCAAGTTGTCTGAATATAAATTCTTCTACTACATTTCGCAAACACTATGACTCTGTTATCAATTCCAAGTTGATAAGTGCCTTCCTAGTGATGCAACAAAGAGCTGTTATGACTTGATTTGTTCGGTTATGATTAAGCATAAGCTAAACAATTTTGAAGAGCTTTTACTTACCAAAAGATCAAACACCAAACAACAAACATTACTCCTATTATCACCATTCACTAGCACAAAAGAATCATGTAACCAAGTTATCTTAATCTAAAGCCTTCTACAACATTTGGCAAACAAAATCACTAACTATTTCCTACACTAGATAAGCCCCTTCTTTAGTGATAACTCCTCTTATCATCACTCACTAGCCTCAGATTCTTCTCGCGAAATACCCTCATGAAACTACAACAATAAACGGTATTTGCTAAGTCACCCAGAACCCCAAAACAACAAACCATCTCAAAACACACTTTAAGTAGCCATGGCGCTTTATCACTCACTCGGAAACAAAGATCATATAACCTTGTTGTGTTAAAATAAAGCCTTCACAACAAAATTACTAATTCCGTTAGGTTTCACAGGCATAACACTAGTCCTCTTATCATCACTCAGTAGCACATAAGAATTATGTAACCAAGTTCTCTTAATCTCAAAGCCTTCTACAACATTTGGCAAACACAATCACTAACGCTGTTACTAATTTCAAGTACGTTCTATGAGTACTTCCTACACTAGATAAGAGCCTGCTTAGTGATGCAACATTCTTCATTTCGAATAGCATTAACTTACCAAAGGATCAAAGGGCTTGCCAACAGTTGCAATAGCCGAAACACGAAGATGTCTCAAAACCTCAACAAATTGCCTATAAATCCCTTGATAACTCGTATCGATCTTCTTCTCCTTCTCCGTATCAACTCTAACCTGTAGCTTAGCTCTCTCAAAACTATCAATAATTGGTAAAAGACTCTTCATAATCTGAACTTTTGCATTAGACTCAGTACTAAGCCTATCTTTATCAAGCTTCTTCCTTGTATTATCAAAATCAGCTTGTAATCGAATTTTCGTCTCTTTCTCTGAAGCTATCTTCATTGATAATGATAAAACCTTTTGATCCATTTTGTTCTTCTCCTTCTCGATTTTGCAAAACATGGTTTCGATTTCTGCAACTGAGGTTTCGTCTCCATTGAAAAGAGCTTGTTTATAAGACCTAATTAGGGTTTTTACATCTGCGTGTTGCTTTGAATTCGCTTCTTCACTGTTAGTCTACGAATCATAAAAGATGACAGATTCGAAATTAGAAGAAGCTTCAAAATCAAAGAAGAGCTGAAAATGGTGAAGAAGAACTTACTTGGTGAGCAGAGAAGATTGGGAATCGTCGATTGGGTTTCGAAATCAGTGGAGATACTGGTGAAGGTCTGCCATGGAAATGGAGGTTTCGTAAAGGTAGGGTTCTTGATGAAGAAGATGGAGCGGAGAAGGAGAAGCAAGGAGCTATTGAAGGATCGATTACGAAAGAAATCGCCATTGTTGGAGTTTTGGATTTGGTACCAATCTGGAGATATGCATTGAGTGAGTCCTAAGTCCTAATCAAATTCAGAACTACAACACTTTGTTCAAAAACGAAAAATCCAATTTCTTTTACAATTTATTTTGTTTTTGAGTTTTTTTGCAAAAGACCTTCACGTTTTGGTAGGTGTGGTTGAGCTTCGAGCTTGTGGATTGGTTTAGAAAGAAGTTCTTTTTTTTTTTTAAATGAATGTAAAATTTATTTATCACAAAACTATTTTTACATCTAGTGCATGCATTTTGAAACTCTGAAAATGTTTAAACCTATAAATTAAATCAGAAGTGTGTGATGGTCGAGGGTTTTACTTAATACAAGCAAGGCAATTTGATCCTAGTATGAGACTATGAGGTATAGTCATTTTGTGAGTTATTCCCAGAGTTGTCTTGAGTATGGGCAGGGGAAGACGAAGTGATCCCTTGTCTCCACAGGTTATTGACAGAGTATACATGATGTTTTGATTTGTTGATTTCACTTCCCCATTTGATCTCTCGTGGAGAGTCTAATATGCATAACGAACCATGTTATGAAAGAATACTTTGGTGTGGCTTGTGGGAACCAAACCCACAAGCCATTTTTGTTCATTTTAACATACTTTGCCGATCTTGGTCATTTTTGTTTGGTTATTTTACCAGATTTTGCTTGGATTGAGATTTTTCCAAGTTGAGGCTCACGGTTGTTTCGCCGATCTGTTAGGAGATCTTCCAATCGTGAAGATATTTCTCCGTTGTGTATCAGCTCTTCCGTTGAGATTATTTTCTGCAATTTTAGTTGATTCAAGTGTTGCGATTATCACTATGTGTTGATATATATTGCGCTTGATCCATAATTGCTATTTGATGGATTTATATTCATCGTTTCCTGGAGCTGCTGAGTTTCTTATGCGACCAGCAGCATTTCATGCCATTGATAAGCCATTTGGTGAAGCTCCCTGGCTACGTTTGAAGTTAGCGTTGCTGCTCACATATGGATCACTTCCCAGGCCTCCAGAATTGACCACAATATGTAAGATTGTTCCTCAATCCCTAGAGGTAGAAATTTTGGAACTCTCAATGTTGATGATTTTGTTGTGGAATGGAGAAAATTGGAAGATAAATGTGTTCCTCAAGATGAGCAGTTTCGGCTAGAAATAGTGCAGCAACTTATTGATTTAGAATCAGATGAATATTGCTGTGCGTTTCTGTTGATGCTGAGTTTTGGAGAATTGCGATTAATAGCTCCTTATACAGCTGGTTACTTTGTGGCATTGATGGTCTCTGTTGCAGAGAGCTTGGTTCAGTCCGATAAACCACACATTTTGAGTGATGTGTTGTGTGATGCTTCATCAGAGAACGAGTTATGGTCAGTTTGCAAGCTTTTACTGGTGTTGATTAATGGTGCTTTGTGTCATGTTGCTGCTCAGAGATGGGTTCCAATTCCAGTTTAATCCAGTTCTTCTTCTCGTTGTTGATAGCACAAACACTACACTGGCTTTTCCAAGAAATGACATGACTATGTGTTCCAAGACAGGGGGAGCTGATAGTGATCATTGGTTATTCAGGAGACACCTAGTCTTGTTGCTTAATCTTTCATTTGCCCAAGTTTATGATAGTTTTATTTCTTTCTACGAGGAAAAAGACAAGCATATTGCTTGCAGTCATGTTTCATGGGAAATCAAAAGTTGCAGCAGCTCTTATCACCAACGATGATTTTGCTCTTTCACTACATGACGATGGTAGCATTGTTGAACAAGAGCATGTGGATACTTCTGGTCGTTTAAGCTCATCCGATTTTGGATCACTAACAAGACCACCAGAAGCTGATTGTGTTTTCAGTTTCAAGTCTCTCAAGTTCACATGACTGCTTTTCACACACAGAGTTATTGATGTCCAAGATGGAAGAGAGGGGGTATTAGATATCACTAGATTGGTTTAGTTGGTTTAGTACTTTATGTATAGCTTGGTTATCAACTCTGGTTAAGAGTCTTAGTATTTAAGTCTTTCTTTATACATCTTTTACGATTGAGTGAAGATATTTTACAATTCTGTTTCTCTCTCAATCTCAATCTGAGAGAAACTAATACTATAGGTAGCAAAGTTTATGTCAAGAATGTTTAAGATGATGCATAAACTCTTTTACATTACAATTCATTAATCTCAACACATGTAGTAATCGAATGGGCAATAGGAATCCTCAGCGATGCAGAGAATTTCATAGAAGAAAGAATCAATGAAGTGATAAACATATTTCTCACTAATTTCAAAGATCTTAGCCAAGAAATATCTTACATTTCGGGTAAATCACTTTGTCCTGGATACGTTACATATGACTTTTAAGACTAGATAATTTATCTGTGTGATGAGTTTCAAGTCCTGCATGTGAGGTTGTACTTTCTCCAAAGATTATAGAAATGTGATAGTATATCTTCTACTTTCTCAAAAGATTAGTTTTGTTCCCATTTTTTGAAAGAGATCCAAAAAAGTATTTTATTCACTGTTACGGTGTTACCGCCTGTAAAATGAAAATATACGTCACAGGTAAATATACTAAACGTGTTCAACTTATGTGAAATGGGTGGTAACGTTAACTACATCTATAAACCTAGAACCAACCTTAAATCTATCCACTTGCAACTCGGTTCAACACTTCATCCAAAAGAGTCTTATACCATGGGGAATCTTCAGGACATGGTCAAGAATCTCCAAGGTTTGGCTACTTTATTCGAATGCTAATTTGGTTTTTTCGATTATCTAGCAAACTGAAACGAAAAAAATGTATCTGCTGAAGAATGTATCTCCCAGTAATAGATCAGCTAACTAACTCTCTGGAACTTTGGTTTTAGTATTGTGAAGTTTTTACGTGGAATTAGTAGCTAATGACATGTAATTCTGATCCAAGGCCACATATGTCAAGTGTCATTAGTAGCTAAACTTAAAGTGTGAGATTGTTTTGTTTGTTCCTTGGATCAGAATTTTCTTGTTCTTCATGTGTGTTTTAAAGCCTTCCTTCAGATCCTCAGACCAAAGAAGGTACAGATTAATCTTACACAGTCTAAGATAGTCACATGATCTGCAGATATTTAAGAAAATGAGCTCACAATTTGGATGAACACATGGTGAATTATTCGACTTCTTATATAAGCTTTTATGAAATGAACTCTTGTGTTTATGCTTTATCATTTGTGTGGGTCAAATCTGGAGAACGCCAAGATATAATTCCGATAATTGGGAATCCGATGGAGACTGTGTTAGACACGATATTGAACCATCAAAGGGAAAGCTCTCTCCCAAAAGGAGAAATTCTACTTCGATTGTGCATCGATGTGAAGCACAAGGGTTCGATGGAGACGGTGTTAGCCCTACAGGAGTGAAGACTTTGGGAGCTTTGTTAGTCTTTGAGTTGAACAGATTCTCAAGGACAAGCAACTTTTAAGCACTGTGACTTATGTGGAACCTTATAACCTTGAAGTAGTCTTGGAGTTTTATGCAAATTTACCAACTGTTCATAAGGTATTTGTCAGAGGCTCCTAACTGTGAGTAGCTGTCAATGGTTTCTAAATTCTAATCTTGTCTAAGAAAAAGATTCAAACTTTGCTTCTTTTTGGTCTTCTCATCTTCAGTGATCAGAAGTAAAGATATAATAGAATCTATGTAAATCAGCATTAGTTAGTTGAAGTACTTAAAAAAAAATTCTGATCATTTCACTCTTAATGATTTGAGTCATCAATCCTCTCTTCATGATGTGATAATGCTTTGAGAAAATTGCAAAACAAAAACAATGAACAAAAACTATTATTACACTTATGTTCTATACGCCTATTAAAGAAGATGATCAAACCCTAACACTCTCTACAAAAAAAACAAAGTTAGAACCACAATCAAATCCTTTGCACAGAGAAACTAAAATTCAATTAATGGCGAACAGGACGGTTAAGTAACTAAATTAAAATTAAGTTTAATTAATTTTTGATGGTTTAGTTAATTGACAAATAAACCAAGAAGTGAAAAAGGAACTTGAACCCTAAACACATGGGTTTATAAATAGTCTCATCGTTTTATAGAGAGAGAGAGAGAGAAATAGTCTCATCGTTATACTCTCAACACTTATAAACCCTAATTTTGCTCTCTCTCTTATCTTTGATCAATTCTTCACAACTTGTTCGTCTTGGCGCTGATCTTTGATCATCAGGTAGATTTTTTCTCGCTCTTTTCTCTTGTAGATGTTAAAGATCTTGAACAGTTGATGCGTCATGGCGATTTTGTGATTTTAATTCTTCGGAGGAAACAGAGAAAATCTCTGTATTTGTTTTCGAATTATTTGGTATTTGTGTAGTTGAGAATCGGAGTCACGAAACAATTTATCGTGATAATTGGGAATATTTGTCTTTAGGTTACGAGAGAAGGATTTAGCGTGTTCTAATCATCATGATGCGGAATTCAACAAAGCAGTTTTCGAGAATCGAGACTACATGTGGACTCTTGCTTCGCCAATTGCAGGTTTTTTCTTGAATTCACATCTTCATTGCCAATATTTGTTTATTTTTCTTGGTTTTGATATGGGACTTACAAGATCCTGAGCACCTGTTTTCCTTATGTTAACTTTGATTCTTTTCAAATTGTAGAGCAAAAGATTGGAAGAGGTAGAATGTTTGCTGAAAACACTGAACTCGTTGTATTCGCCTATTCGGTTCTTGGTGAAGATTTCAAGGACATGATAAGAGAGATGTGAGCAGAAGTACTCTTGATAGGTTGGATATGATGATTGTCAATTTACGAGAGGTCAAGTTACAGCGAATGCAGAAGGTTAGAAGTTTCTGCTCCCTGTATTGTTAGTCTATCCGTTTATAACAGTATATGAACCATCTGTTTTGAAATGTGGTTTTGCTTTACAGGCTGAGGATGAAGTCATTAGGCTTAGCAAGCTCCAAATAACTAGGATCAAAGAGGTGATACTAAGGAAGAAGCTTGAGCTTGAGGAAATATCAAGGAAGATGCACATGGCCACCCAAGTTCTTAAATCAGAAAACTTTTCAGTTGAAGCTATAGAATCTGGTAAACCATTATTAGGAAAAGCTTATTTTTACATAATATGATCTGAAGAAACTCATTATATGAACATGCTAATTAATAATATGTTTCCACTCACCTTTTAGAGCAAATTGATTCCGAGATTGCAAAGGTCAAAGAAGAAGCTTCAAGCTTCAAGAGGAAGATTCTTGAAAAAGTGGAGAAATGGATGTCAGCTTGTGAAGAAGAATCTTCGCTCGGAAGTACAATCGGGTAAGACCTTTAATCTCAACCATGTTCCTCTGCCTCAATCTTTTATTTTGTTCTCACATTGTTGGCTTCGCATGATGATAACCGGTACAACGCAGGAAGAGGAGCTCATCTTACATTGAAGCGTGCGGAAAAAGCCCGTGTACTTATCAATAAACTTCCTTTTAACATTCTTGCTCTTTAGATTATATTACAAAAAAACACAACTCATAACTTATGATCTTTTGTCCATTGCTTTCTGCTGCTGTTGATGCAGGGATCTCAACGCTATCACCGGCGGGTTCTGTCGACGGCGGCGAAGGAGATTACGAAAGAAGAGGATAGCGAAGAGAGGGACAATGGAAAGCAAGTAGTTTCGACTTTCGATGGCTTTAGAAGAATAATGGAGTCGCGGCTGAGGGAGGATGAACAAGATAGAAAATCAGAGTTTGGTATGGCCTAGGCAATGGGCTTCGCTGTGACGGCCCAACTCCAGGTATTACTTTCTTAATTTTTTTTTTTTTTTTTTGGTAAGAATTTTTTTTTTTTTTCAATAAAGATTTTTATTTTTCACTTTGGATTTTCTGATTTAAAACTAAATTTTGAAAACAAAAAACTAAAAAACTAAAAATAAAACTAAGTGTTAAATTTAAAAACGTTGAAAACAAGTTCGACTTAGCATCCCGTCCTTTTGGTCCGTAAGTCTTGAGGTGTCATAAGTTTAACATGTTTTCACGTTATAAAAATTTAACACTTAGTTATGTTTTAAACGGTTTTCAAAATTAATATTTTAAGTCAAAAAAATTTAAAAACTTAATAAGAAAAAAAACTTAATAACTAAAAACAAAACTAGATAAAAAAAATCCTTTATGGCGATTTTATTGGCGTGGCGATCTATCTACGGTTTCTCAACCGGTTATTTCTTCCCACTCCGGTGGCGGTTATACACGATTTTGCTAGCGATCTGGAGCAGTTTTGGCCCATTTCTCAGGCAGTTATCTCCACGATGAACCCCTGTCTTCGTCGTGATGCTTATGGAGCAACTGCAACGAATCTCTCCCTATATAATTGCAGACTTGCGAATTGCTTTTGCACAGTATCAATCCAATCAATACCATTTGTGCTTCTTTACCCTCTTCGATTTTATTTATTCCTCTTGAAAATGGCTGACAACTTGAGAAGAGCAGCAAGACATCAACCTTGGTGCCGAAGATGAACCTGTGGCAATTTCTCCGGCAATTGTAGCTCAAGCAGCGGCAGAGAACCGATTTATCCTCATGGGTCGACCGGTGATGCCGAGAAGACAGAATTTGCGTTCGATTGTGGCTTCTATGCCCAGAATGTGGGGTCAATCGGGACTTGTTCACGGAAGAATTGTCCCAGGAAATCAATTTCAGTTCATTTTCCCTATTAAAGAATCATTGGAAACGGTGATGCGTCGAGGTCCTTGGGCGTTCAATGATCGTATGTTAATCCTCCGAAGATGGACTCCTCTCATGAATCCCCCACAAATCAACTTCATACCATTTTGGATTCAAATCAGAGGAATTCCTTTTCAATTCCTCAGCCGTCAAGTGATTGAAGAAGTGGGTCAGGCTCTTGGAGATGTTGCGGATGTTGACTTTGATGGTGAAGCAGCGGCTAGAATCGAGTTTGTTCTTGTGCAAGTCGACTGGAACGTTGAAAATCCTCTCCGATTTCAACGTAATGTCCAGTTTCAGGCAGGAATCAACACTCTTCTGCGATTCCACTATGAACGTTTAAGAGGCTTTTGCGAACTCTGTGGGATGCTCACACATGATTCAGGAGCCTGTCTTATTCAGAATGGTGGAGGAGACAATAACTCTGATGGGGATGACGATGAAGATCTACCAGATGCGGGAATTCAGAACCAGGGAATTCTCTCAGATTCAGGAGCCTGTCTTATTCAGAATGGTGGAGGAGACAATCTCATCATACGTGAAATTGCCGATGATGAAGAGAATGGTGATCCAGAGGAGATTGTACCAGAAGTTGATGTTCAAGAGGAAGCAGAGGAGAATGAGACTGTTGAAGACATTGACCCTCTGCACAATTCTCTGGCCTCAGAGATGGACAACAATGAGCTCTTTAACCCCATTCCAATCTTTGAGAATGCAGGTGATATCCCCGGAAGTGAAAGCTACCAACGATACTCCATTAACATCCACCCTCGTGAAGAAATCATGGAACAGAGTATGCTTTACAGAGAGATGATGGCCATTGAAAGAGGAAAACGTAAGAGAGAAGATGTCTTGGATCAAACAGAGGAGAATGACACGAAGATGGTGATTCGTGAGAAAGGTGAAAGCAGCAGCTTCTCGGACAGGAGCGACCAGTGCAGAGGCGCGGTGGGCCCGAAACCACCACATCCGCCATGATCACAGCCTGCTGGAACTGTCAAGGTTTAGGCATAGACCTTACAGTTCGACGCCTAAAGGAGATTCGTCGTCTGTATCTCTCGGACATTTTATGCCTCTTTGAGACAAAGCAAAAGGACAACAAGATCAAGGATGTTTATATTGATTTAGGGTATGACCGAAGTGTCTCAGTCCTACCTACGAGTCTGAGTGGTGGAGTAGCTGTTTTATGGAATTCTCATCTTTCTGTTTCTGTAATTTCCCAGTGTTCTAATCTTATAAATTGTCATGTTGAAAGTAATGGAATCAGTTTTTACTTGTCTTTTGTTTACGGCTTTCCAGAACCAAGCAACAGACATTATCTTTGGGAAAGATTAGAAAGAATTTCAACAACAAAACCATCTGCTTGGTTAATAATGGGTGACTTCAACGAGATTAACAGCAAAGACGAGAAAAGAGGAGGTCCGCGTAGACCTGAGAGTAGCTTCACTGATTTTCGAAGAATGCTAGCGACTTGTGACTTCCATGATTTAAATGCGATTGGAGACCCTTTTTCTTGGACCGGGAAAAGACATAAACACAATATTTGGTGCTGCCTAGATCGTGTCATGGCAAATTTAGAATGGTCAGCACAATATCCCTCAGCCCAAACTGAGTTCTTACCTTTCGAAGGCTCCGACCATCGGCCACTGGGCACAAATATTACCGGATCCATTGGAAAACGTCAAGGTTGTTTCCGATATGATAAGAAATAGTTCTTTAAAGAAGGTTTCAAGGAAAGAGTAGTGGATTGTTGGAATGTTGCAGATAGAGAAACATCTTTGAGCACAAGAATCAAGAACTGTAGGAAATCCATGGCAATTTGGAAAAGAAGAAACCGCACTAATTCAGCAGATCAGATTGCTACTTTGAAAAGACGTCTTGATTATTCTCTCTCAAATGATGGTTTTACCACTCAAGATATCCATAAAATCAGACAAGAGCTTTCCCGAGCATATCATGATGAAGAAACTTTCTGGAGATTGAAGAGTAGGAAGAGTTGGATCAATTTTGGGGACGAAAACACCATATACTTTTATGCTGCTACAAAGACGAGAATGACAAGGAATAGAATTCTTTCTATTGAGGATGGTCAAGGAAATTCTCATAGAGGTGATTCAGATATTGGAAGGATATCAGAGACTTATTTCAAAACTTTGTTCACTACAACAAGACAGGACCATATCAACTACCAATCAGTTTTCGAAGGCTTTCAAGCAAGAGTGACTGAAAACATGAACAATGACTTGACTAAGTCGGTAACAGAAGGTGAGATTACAGAAGCGGTCTTTGCCATCGGAGAAGATAGACACCGGGACCGGACGGGATTACAGGTGATTTTTATCACCAATTCTGGCCAGATATCAAGGAGGCAGTAATTCAAGAAGTTTGTAATTGCTTTGAAACTAGTAACTTGGAAGAGGGCACCAATCACACCAACATTTATCTAATCCCTAAGCCTGAATCTCCAAGAACCATGAGTGACTTCCGGCCCATTGGGCTATGTAATGTTAGCTACAAGATCATCTCTAAAATCCTCGTGGGAAGACTGAAACACTATTTATCCGGAATCATCACCGAGAATCAAGCTGCGTTTATCCCGGATAGAAATATTATGGATAACGTCATTATGGCACATGAAATGCTCCATTCTCTAAAGTCAAGGAAACGATGGGTAATTGTCGTATATGGCGGTGAAGACGGATATCTCAAAAGCTTATGATCGTTTAGAATGGAGATTCCTGCAGGATACAATACTTTACATGGGTTTTGACGTGAAATGGATTAACTGGATTATAAAGTGTGTAGAATCAGTTTCCTTCTCCGTTCTGATTAATGGATCACCACATGGCTAAAACTTTAAACCAAGTCGGGGGATCAGACAGGGTGACCCTTTATCACCATATCTCTTCATTTTGTATTCAGAAGTTCTATCTCACCTACCCACAAATGCAACAACGATCAACAAACTCCGAGGTATGAAAATAAGTACAACGGGTCCAACAATAAATCACCTCTTATTTGTAGATGATGCTCTGTTCTTTTGCCATGCTCATCCAAAATCTTGTTCGATAATCATGAGAGTTCTACAAGACTATGAAACAGTCTCAGGCCAAGCGGTTAATCTCCACAAATCGGCTATCACCTTCGGATCGAAAGTAAAACCACAAGTGAAAACCAAGCTTCGAAGAATTCTGAATATCCACAATGATGGAGGTGGTGGAAAATATTTGGGATTACCAGAACAGATAGGAAGGAAGAAAAAAGAAATTTTCAACTTCATTGTCAATCAGGTTTAATAAAGGACTCAAGGATGGACCAATCGATTCCTATCCGAGGCTGGAAAAGAAATACTTATAAAGACAGTTGCACTTGCTTTACCGGTCTACACGATGAACTGTTTCAAACTTCCTAAAGGAATCTGTGAAGACATTAATAGTCTGCTTGCTTGCTTGCTAGTTATTGGTGGAGTAAAGGACCTGAAAAGAGTTCAATGCATTGGTTAGCTTGGAAAAGAATGGCCTTACCGAAAAAAGAAGGGGGATTAGGTTTCAAGGATATTGAAAGTTTCTATACGGCTATGCTAGCAAAACAAGCATGGAGAATTCTTCAAGCACCAACCAGCCTTCTCTCAAAACTCTTAAAAGGAAGATATTTTGCAGGAAGTAATATTTTGAATGCAGGAACTGGTCCCAAGCCTTCTTTCATATGGAGATCAATTTTAGAGGGAAGAGATCTTCTCAAACAGGGACTGCGAATTCTAATAGGAGATGGAAAGGAAACAAACATTTGGACTGACCAATGGCTTCCAACTCACCCTCCAAGACGACCACGGAGCCGTACCGATACCATTCCGAGGATCACAAAGGTTAATGAACTTATGCAAGAAGGAACAAAGATGTAGAACAAAGAAGTTATTGAGGAGCTGTTTGTAGAAGAGGATCCAGAACTAATTCAATCCATCCGTCTAAGTTCACAATCCTTTCCAGATCTATTAGGATGGAGTTACAACAAAAGTGAAGAATACACTGTGAAATCGGGCTACTGTTTAAACACGCACTTACCGGATCAACCAAACATGATTACACCACCAACGGAATCATTGGATTTAAAAGTAGCAATATGGAAAATAAAAACAGCTCCGAAAATCAGACATTTTCTTTTGCGGATTGTTACGTATTCAATGGCAGTTGGATCGATTTTAAAAAGGTGAAGAATAACGAGAGATGCTATGTGCAAGCGTTGCTGTGTTGCAGAGGAGACAAAGGAACATCTTTTTTTCGGATGTAGTTATGCTCAAGCAATTTGGAGAGGTAGTAATGTCGCTCATTCTTCTTACTTTGACCCTAATCTATCCTTTGAGGACAAGTTCAAGATGATACTTCTTTGCTGGAACGATAAAAGGTTGGACGAGTTAACAAAACAGTTGCCTTTGTGGGTTCTATGGAGGATCTGGAAGAGCATAAATCTTTTAGTGTACCAAAAAAAGGGCAGTCAATGGATTAAAGATGTACAAGACTACAAGCAGCCATAACTGATGCTTATGAATGGTCTCTGGAGCAAGCTAGCAGAAACATGAGGACTGTCAATAATATACTGATTAATAACAGTTGGGAGAAACCAGAGATGGGCTACAAGAAATGCAACTATGATTGTAACTTCAATCAAAATGGTGTGATTTCAAAAGCAGGATGGATACTACATGACTCGAAAGGTTTCTATATTGAAGCTACTCAAAGCAGCAGAAGAATTTGTACTTCACCATTGGAAGCGGAATTACAAGCTCTGTTAATGTCTATGCAACACACATGGATTCGAGGTCATCGACGAGTTGTATTTGAAGGAGACAACAAGGAGGTACCAAAGCTAATTCAGGGGGATACAAGAAACTTTTATTTTCACAATCTGATTCAAGAAATCCAATTATGGCAGGAACGATTCACGAGTTTGATAATCAAATGGTCAACACGAGAGTGCAATAAGGCTGCGGATCGTTTAGATAAGGAAGACATTCCAAATGGATCACTTTTTGTATCTCATTTTTATGTTCCCACTTTTCTTGTACAAATCCTCTCTGAGGATCACTCTGTTTCTTTATAATAAAGTGATCAGATGTTGGCGTTAAAAAAAAAAAAACTAAAAACAAAACAAAGTGTTAAATTTAAAAACGTTGAAAATAAGTTCGACTTAGCATCCTGTCCTTTAGTTCCGTAAGTTTTCTTCTGTAAGCTTTTTGGGATTCTAGAGATTCATCATCTTTGACACTTTGGAGAAGATTTCTAAACCCTTGTTCTTTATTTATCAATTCAATTATGCTTTCCTTTCAATCTATTTGTCTTGTTTCTGTTGCTATGTGTGAGTAGTCCTCTAATTGGGTTTTAGGGTTCTAATTAGGAGATTAAATGGATTAATGGATTGATTGTTATTAGGAATTTCATTCTTTAGGTTCTTTGATTCACATGTTCTTAATGCTAGAATAGGATTGATCACCCTGTATTAGATTCTAGGTTTTTTCTATGCATCAAAAGTGTTCGATAGAATGCCTGAAAGAATGTGAATTGAGCAATGTATTTCTAGCCAACGAAAGTTGACGTTAGGACGCATTGTGAACTTAATGAACTTGTTTGGTAATGCGAATTTGACTAGGAAGTCGAACTAACACAATCGAGATTTGTCTAGGGTTTTATTTTAGGGATACGATTTGCAAGAATTCTCAAAGAACAACAGAAAGAATTGTAACCAAAGATGGTGTTTTTGATATTATTGATAAAAGAATAGCTTTGATCGTACAAGGAGTTTGATCGTAAAAAGAAAAGTGTTTTTGCTTCAGAGCTTTGTGTAGTCTAAGTCTAGAGCGTTCTTGCTTCCCCCTTCTGTAAGAGCCTTGAGTCTCTTTATATAGGGATGGTAAACCGCCTCTCCAACGATATTCTCGGAAGATTTCCATTTATCTTGAAGTCGGCTTAGAATATCGCGGATTAGGATACTTTCTTTATTCTTCGGAGTTTCCGGAAGTTTTCCTGATTTGAGTTGGTCCTTCGAGATTCTTCCTTATCATTTCCGAGTATTTCGGAAATGATCCTTCTTTTTCGGAAATGATGCCAATCTATTCAGAAATGATACTTTGAAAGTGAATATTTATGAAGTCTTTGCCTCGGGTGACTAACAACTTTGCCTCGGGTAATCTGGAAACGGGAAGACGGCGTGACACATTACCCGAACCGAAGTATTTAAAAGGCTCGGGTACCCAGAGGAGA